CAGTTTTGCCCACTTCGGCCAACGCCCCGCCCATTGTGTGCGGAGCTTAGGTGGCTCGTGTGTGCTCTGCAAATGCTGGTCCATGCCACGTCTATTCCAAGCACAATCTGTACCCTTAAAGTAAATTTCCACGAAACCCCAATTTCAGGCGGTCACACAGACATACACACACACACATACAACTTCTGGTTTATATACAGAGGGATGAATTTGCCAAGAGTGGACAGCACACTTGGGAGGCGCGCGGTCGCGGCGCTATGCACGTGGCAATCACATCTATCCTTAAATAACAAAAACTCTGCATAATTATAAAGTCCGTATAATACGTGTGAATGGCTGCGTAATAAATTAGGAGAATCAGTAGTGTTACCGTATCCTTCGTTGCTATAGCCTCGTATCATTGCAACCGCATGTGTGCCTTTTGGCTCCACTTTTGCTCTCCGTTTTTACCCTTGGCGCTCTCCATGATTTTATCGAAAGCTGAGACTTGATGGCCTTCATTGCAGGTCTATCAGCGAAATCAATAACCCCAGGTGAGGTTCAACTCGCCGTGACCACCCATGGACATCCTGATCACTTTGGTCAGGGCAATTTCTTTCCAAACGCTCGTCACTTCTTCGGAAGTTATGAATACGTTGATGATGTTTATATTAAGACCGAACTAGATGTGGTACGACGATTTTTCTTGTTTGTTTTTTTTGCAGATCATTCAATTAATCAATTGTTTTAAGAATGACACTATGAAGCTCACAAATAATGTGGAGCTATGGAACACTCCTGGTCACACGGCTCAGGATATTTCTGTGATCGTCAGTAAAGTACCATGCTGTGGTATTGTGGCTGTTGTAGGTAAGGTACTCCATTATACTTTGGTTTCCCATATTGGGTTTAGCTAGCTATTTTGCTCTTATTTCTGAGTACTGTGACTTCGAGAATGTATAGTCATCACCACTGGGGACGAGAAGGCGTGTAAAGGATGCGTGAATCAGAAGGCAGCCGGGGTAGCCTTTCTCGCCAATTGGTGCACACTCAAGATGGCATCATTGGTAGAAAGGGCCACACTGGTTGTGTTCCAATCCACGCTCCGTCATACGCCCTATCGTTTGCAGGGATCTTGACTATGCCAAGTGTTTTGAAGCTACCGATTTAGGCTTTCTAGCTTGGTAAAGCTGTATTTTACTACTGTCACAACCACATACTCCATTTAGTTGGTCGTAGCCCTTTAGTGAGGAATAGCGAACAATTGGCTATTATTTGTTGGCCCATGGTGACGTAGTGCTCCTAGCAGTAATAGGCCTGATAAGAACCCGAATTCTCATGACAGAAAATTGAGGTAGAAATCGAAAAAATGATTATCCCTGGCATTTCGGCCTATTATCCTGACGTTCGAGTGCAGGTGGCGTATTTATAAGTGGTGCCGCTTTCCTTAAGTACTGCCAGTGGCTCAAAGGCGATGGGCACGATAATTTGCTTCTCTGCATAAAACGGGAGCAGAAACACTCTGTAGTATTATAGAAAGGCAAAAACGGGGCGAAACGGCCCTAAACGTCTAATATAAAGCCCTTATGAACCGCTCTAGAACTTTGAAACGGGTACTGCTCGCAGAAAAAGCTCCCACTTCGCCAAGGAAAAGATTCTTGTCGATACCTATAAGTTTTACCTCTTCAGAAAGAACTCTGAAGAAGTAAAAAAGCGCCATTCGGCCGCATATTGTTTTCGAAAGCAGCTGATCCGATGGTGATCAATTGCTAATCAGAGGTGGCCATTTGTAGGGGTATCGTTGTTGGAGGGAGTTCGGATTGGCATGCTAAAACTTGCTAGGATGCTTAGAGACCGCTTTTCCTTGGGAAAGACATCAGATGACAAGGATTCGGAGCGTAGCAATTCTTTTCGGTGATCGGAGCGTTCTCATCTTACATGCCCTCAGGGGATTTCGTTATCCCTTAGCTTCGAATCTGGATCGACCCCAGTTTCCTCACTAAGTCTTCCGCAGCTTCGGTGTCGAGTTAGTTGATGCGAAGCGTAGTTAAGATGGTAGGAACGCTGCCTAAGGCATCAAGTGGCCCTGCAAGCCGTTGTGTAGGCAAAATTGCTCTGGAAGTGACAGAATGACCATGAATGCAAGCAAGGCGGGGGGCAGCTAATCCCAAGAAGAATTTCTTTAATGCTGAAGCAAGTTTTTTATTCGAGTAACCTACACTTCCAGTGTCTCCCTATCTCCTATATCTGAAGAGGATTGCCCCAGTTTGCTAAGTTTCTTTCTGCCATCCATCTACCATTCTCCCATTCACCTTTCTTTCATTTTAGTTCCTTATAATGTTCATTTTAGTTGTGCGCAGACGTTCTATACAGCCCGTAAGTGTTCTACGCATTATCCTTTGTTTCAACAATCACTGGAACATGAAACGCGCGTCTACAAGAGCGTCTTGTTGACTAGTTTTCCAACGACCGCAGCCGACGCGCCAGTTTTCACACCCGGGTTCGGATTGCTCTTTAAAATAGCCATCGGCTTCGTTAGCAAACAAACGTTGGACGGGGGTCTGGCTCCTGGTATTGCGAACGGAAATCATACTAGTGTTCCATTTGATATTTTTTATCAATTAATTGGTCGTGTGTATCGCCAACAACCATGAGTGCCGATCAAATTGCACACCTTTTGTCGAGTGTCAAATAAGACTTAACAGCTGCTACGCCTCCTGGAAACTAGAAAAATTTCTCAGTTAGTTGATTCCACACATTTTGACACTTCCACGATGAATTAGAGGCCAGCGATTGTTAGACGCACTCAGGATGCAGCATCGTAATGTGTGTAGTGGCGGTGTCACATACCCCTCCCAAAAAATCACCAATGAACTGCTAATTTCAACTGTCAGGAATGTTATTAGTGTGGTAGTTCTGCATCGCCGGCAGCTAGGGGGGGGTATGTATCGAACATAGAAAGAACCGGAAAAGTCAGGAATCGGGGAAAAAAACTTCTCACGGCTCCCTTCCCAGCAGCCGGGTACGGCCCTCTGCATCTCCCTGATGGGATTATCCCAGCTATGCTCTACCTTGATTGCATTAGAGGCTTGCAGAGGCTTCTGCAATAACTGATCATCTGGCGTGCAGCGTCAAAGGTGGACTGAATCATCATGGAGGAGCGCCTTTTGCGCTGGGTAGAGGAAGGTTCTTGTGGTAGGCTCATCGAATGTACCACAGTTCAAGCAGATGAGTAAACCGGTGTTGATATCGACAACGTTGGCGGTCTCCATTCCCATGTGGCGACTGCTTATGAACATATAATCATTATTATGAAAGTACTTCGCCTGAAAACGAGCAGTTTAGGCGATCTGTTTTATGATGAAACTGACGCACTTAACGAGACGTCGGAATGGTTCAGAGAAGCTTGGAGTCCAATTGTTGGTAAGACCATAATCATTATTATGAAAGATTGATAGTTGCTTTCTTTTGCTATGCTGCTTCATAATTTCAATTGTTTCATTGTTCTAAAAATTCACTGTTCTCCTGAAGTTGTCAGTTTGCAGCGACTTTCTTTCAGGAAAAAACAGCCGCGACAAAGTGATCTGCCATGCGAACTATATCATTCCAGGACATGGAAAACTGTTCAAGTACTGTTGATTTGTGGTTTCCTTTTTCGCAAGACATCCCACGATTACCCAAATCATTAAACCAGTACCATCGCGTAATGGACCTCTCCGCGAGCGCAGTGGCGGGCAGAGAATGCTGAGCAAAGCTGCAAAAAAGAACCTGGGGGTCCGCTCTACACAGCTGGCTTTGTCGATTATTCTACCCCCCCCCCCACTCAAAACAAATGTTATCAGCGGCTTCTTTAGTCTGTTGCCTCGCCTGTCTTTGTGCTCGCTCGCCTTTTCGTCACCTTCTATCTCATCTAAGCTCTCAGTGACGTTTCCAATTACGCTCAATGCTATAATGGTCAAAATCAGTCCCAAAAAAGAGAGCCTAATCGACGGTTTCTTCTAGGCCATTTAGCGCTTCCATATCCAAAACTGAATCTCTTTATCGACTGCCTTTCAAGTAAACTTCGCTTCCCGTCTCGTCTTGCGGTCCCCTTGTTGTCTCCGCAGAGGATCCCAGCATATTTTTAACTTAGTAATTCTTGGTCAGGATTTGCAATGTTCAGTTTCTACTTGGTTTCCTTTAGAGTTAGTCAACGCATGAAGGAGATGGCCAGTTGCAACAAAACACTCAACTCCCCAACGGAAGAGCTACATTCAACAGTTCAAGTATACTGTTTTTACTGAATTTGCATTATTTTTCACTACTTATACGTGATAAGCAAATTGAAGAACGTTTTCAAACAGATGTCGCTTCCTGCTTTCACTTCAGTGGAGGTCCTTCTCGATGAACGTCCTCCATCCTTTCTTTGGGAACCTGCGGTCGCTTTCCTCTGCTTTCGAAATTCCTCATATTCCTTCCTTATTGTATGCCTCAGTTTGCTTTCTCATGTCACGTGCCCATTTACGCAATTCGCAGTCGCTTGGCTCTCGTGTGCCTTCTATCTGAATCAGTAGCCGGTTCTGTGTGAGTCCTGCCTTGACGTCCTCTTGTTTCTGCACATGTTCTGTCGAGTCGGTCGTCCGACTTCTCTTCTGTAATCGGCTACTTGTTATGCAGTGGTTACGGTTATGACCGTTGGCATGAATATGCCCCCTTTGAAGTTTGTATATGCGACGCACGTTGAGCGTATCTGCTTCTTACTCATTCTGCGCTTTTATGCCGTGAATTCTGTGCCATACTCTGCTTTGTAACGTTCTTGGATATTGAGTTCCACGATAGCACTCTCTGCCCGTCCCATTTAATTCGATTTCTATTTGATGGCTCTCAATAGAACTATTGGGTTTATTGGAGGTCGGTGCCTAGTGTAGTGGCAAAGTGGTTCCGCGTTTACATACGGATCAATTCAAATGTGCAGATTCGCTCCTAAATCTGCCGTTCAACTCAAGCTTTCTGTCCCTACTGTGTGCTTTTAGATTTTCGTTTTGAGGAGGATTGCAAATCAGTGTATTTTGTGTTTTCAGTCTGGTCTGCGGCAAAGACGATTGTGTAACACATGTCGCCTCTTTATTATAAGGCCTATATTGCGATGAATGATTATGTGAAGTACAATTGTCCATCTCCGGCATCCGCATCAAATAACGCTTCTTAAAGCCTGATGTCTATTTCAAATGTTCTGAACCTTAGTTGAAGAGTAACCAGTTCTCTCTCGGTTCCAATAAAAAGAGAAATGATAGGCGCTGTACGGGGCGATCAGGAAGAATGCCGGTAAGTCATGCCATTCTCCATGATGGTATATGATTAATTTCATACACAACACCTTTCTCATTGCTTTTTTTGATAGACGCGTTTTGCTGATGAGCGGTCTTCAGCCACCACGTTCCCCTCCCCCATTTAGCTCGACGACCTAACAACGCTTTATGAACGCTAATCTATAACTTGCCATGGGCACCATTGTGTGTTGCAAGCACCGAAGTTTCACTTTTCTGCGAATAGCAGAAACAACCAGATCATTCCAGCTTGTCCGCGATTAGATCGATTAGGCCCCAATGCGAAAGTCGAGCGCATGACCCCGTTTTCGCCGCTTTCGTTGCAGTTGGAACTCCTGCAACTCACCTGTCATCACTTGAACGCGACTTGAGCATAAAAAATCTCCTAGTTTGAAAATGTTGGCTTAGTTCTGGTTATTCAAGTCCCTGGGAAAAAATAGACAAAGAAAAGTTATTGATTAAGAAGTCTTCGGACAGCGTAGTGCAGTGGCTAGTGCAAGGCTGCTCCTTCAACTATAAGCACAGCGACATCAGTTCGTCCCCAGCACAGCTTCAAACGCAGTTGGCACGATACATTTCTAAGACGAGTAGGATTGATGCGCCTGGCAGGACAGCGCCTTTTCCCAGCGCTGCGTAGCGCCTTTTCAAAGAAAGGTACCCTTGCAAGGCCCTATCAAGCTGCAACATACCGACCCGACGCCCACCGCGCCCGCCCGCCCACAAATGGACGACCGTTCCTGATGCTCGTATTGCTTCATTTGCTAAGTAAATTATGAAGCGAAGGGATTGGTATGAAGCGGCTGCGGTGCTGCATGGATATATGAGTACACACATGCAGCCGTATCTACCGTAGCGGTTATTGGCACGATGCCAACGGGAAACTCGTCCGAAATTGCTTTCTGAGTCGTGTAGAACAAAGGCTTTTTTGCAGGTTTTTGACCGTTTCACTTCGTTTTTTCCACATTTCCCACTGTTTAGCCGCGCCCCCCTGCTACCATTTTACACAGAGTACCAATTATTGTGCCAAGTTCCTTTAATCTTCTTATGCCATCCTTTTCTATCCCATCTCTATCCTGCCGTGAAAGCGCGGCATCATCAGCTTGTAAAATTTGTGATAAGACATACCCTAACATTCAAAATGTTCAATGAAATTCAGCTACGCAGAGTTTGTGAAAGAGATTTATCAAAGCAGAGCATGTTGACCTCGACGTGTTTGACGGCAGTTTCCACGGTAGCCTAAATGTAGGTCATGACGCTCAAAAACAAAAGTGACAGCGCTCATGAATCTATCAGTAATTGAGAGAGCAAAAGTAAGCGTCTTCAGAAACTGGTCCTCTTTTTGAGGTTATCAGAAGTTGTATGAGAATAGCGTGGAGAAAATGAGTGGTTAGGCAATTTTCCAGCTTCCCGTGTGAAGCGCATGATCCTACTCATAGAAGAAGAGTAAGGCTTCGTTCATACTTCGCGGCAGCGTCTACCAACGACCAATAGCGTCTACCAGCGTCCAACGGCGTCCACCAGCGACCAGCAGCCTCTCGAGGGCTAGGGAAGAATAAGTATCAATCTAGCGTCTATCAGCGACCAGCAGTGTCCTGTAAAGGGTAGCGTGTCGATAGGAGTTTAGCCGATAGCTGGTATAGTATGGGAAAATTGGAGGTCAGCAGACTGTTGATAGAGAGTATGACGCGATAGTAGGGTAGCAGACAACTGGTATCCCTATCCCCACACTCTATGCTAGCAGTCTGCTGGCTAGTCGCTGGTGGACGCTGGTAGGCGCTGGCAGACGCTATCAACCGCTACATCGATACCTATACATTCCTTGCTCTTGA